GTATACCGAATTACTTGTCCGAAAGCTTGAAAATAAAAGGTTTGCACAAGAAACTCAGCCCTGGAAGCTTTATTTATTTTATAATATACCTAATTAATTTACACAACGAAAATATAATTTATCCTTTATTAAGACTTTTAGTCGTATATACATATTCTACTGCGAGATACAGAAAATCTGCGGTGGGAAAGAAGTAGAAAGAAATTCAAATTTACAAAGATATATTGTAAATATATATCTATAATTAATTTACATATTGAAAAATATTAAGAAACTGATATTAAAGAAACAATCGTTGATAAAGATTTAAATAATAAAAATTAAAAGTTAATTCACACTAAAAAATATCGCGTTTGATGCATTTAAAATTGAAAACTAACGTCTTTAATAGATAAACAAATGAAAATTATTCTTAAATAGGTGAAAATATACTAATTTGTGATTATAAATTGTTTATTATAACACAAATACTCTTTAATATTAATTATTATTATCATAATACTTCTTTTAAATATATTAATATGTTTTAAAAACGATTATATATGTTGTTTTAAATATATCAAAAGAATTACGTCTTATTTTGATAATTCTATATTATTTCTATTGATGATTCTATGATATAAAATTATATAATTACTCGTTTATAAGCCATATATAATATACAATATATTATAACACACTTTAATAAAATTTCATAATCAAACGACAAATATCGCAGACGAATTGAACAACCAAACTAATCCCAAGTTCATTAGGGGACATTCTACTAATTAAAAAAACGTAATTATTATTCAAAATTAATAATTAATTTAATATATTAACAAAAACAACTATTTTATAAAAAAGATTTGTTTTCGTTTTCGCACATCCAACTGAAAAACGTTGTAAATAAAAAATATATAATATTTCCGCAGACGATGTTGCTATGACAAAAATTGACCAATGATTTACTAAATGACAAAGAGGACAACTTTACATCAAAGTACTGTATTGACACACCTGTATGACAATAATAATGTGACATTTAAAAAAGTGTCACCTTCTTACTTTTATGAGGTCAAGGACAAAGTAATAAAATCACAAATATATAAAAAACTAAATATATTTAAAAAACAAACCGAACAATATAATAAAAATATAAACAACATTTTTTATACACCCAAAAATATAATTCTATGATAGTATAAAAATATCTCTTTTAAAGGGATTCTTTAGAGAATATAAAAAGAATAATCAAATCTTTCATAAGATTTTAAGGAATAGAATTATTTTATGTAAAATGGTAAATATGTAACTAAAGACGAATATGTAATTTTGATGTATAGAAGGACTTGTTGCCAGAACTTACCTTTCAGGAGCTAATCCATTGGCTCAATGGCGGCCGTCAGGGAACTCTCACATAGAAGACATTGGAGGCTCTAGAGGGAGCATCATTCTAAGCTCTTGCGCACCTGGATGCGCAGTAGCTTGTTTATTGAACTCTCGTCTGGCTGGTTATTCACCAAACCATCGTTATCGAGAAAAGTCGTTTGATTGTTATTTCTACCTTCAATTTCTCATTTTTATTTGAAATTTTTATATCTATTTTTATTCTTATCTATATTTTTATATATATTTCTCAAATAGGTATTTATATTTGTCTTTTTTTAGGTTGTTTTTATGATCGTTTGCTATCGTTTTTAATATGAGTTTAACTTGATTTTTAGTATTAAACAGGTTTTTAATGTTTATACTACGTTTAAACAATATAGTTTTTAATACTAATAGATTTTTGTATGACTGTATATTTTTCTCGTTAAAAAAAAAGTGGTATTTTAAAATTTCACATTCAAATTTTCTTGTATTCTATATTATTGGTAATATATGTATCTTTTATAGTAATATAGAAATATTATGTTGATTTTTGATATTAATTAATGTTGTACAGTAGAAATTGGGCAATTTTAACGTTTTTATTTCGAATATTTATCTTGGTCCCTATAATTTTCTATGAAAAATAATTTCCGTTTTATTATTCGAATTTTTAGATAATTCGAATATTTTTGGTCTCTTTAGGCTTTGAATTATCTAAGTTTGACAGTATATGGTTATAATGAATCTATATAAATGTTATAATGATATTGTAATATTATTGGTATATATATATATATGTAGTAGATTGTAAGGAGATATGTAGTTTATCGCGAAAGCTAACCGCTAAGGCAAGGATGGGGTAAATATGACCTGACCGGCAGAACTGATCAATAATATCCGTGGTGGCATTTATGGATGTTTTTTTCTTCTAGCTGACCTGTGACCGTTTTGTCACAAATGTCACCATCTTCTTCAAGTTTGTTTGTTTTTTGGTCATTTAGGTGTTTGTTGTCTTAAGATCTCTAATTACCCATACATATAACACTATATTCATATATATCTATAGATTTAAAACATTTTATTGAACAATCTTTAAAGAAATACAGTGAGGGTCGGTGGAAGGATGGTTTAAACCGTTGGTTTTCGACCACTACGACCCGAATTCGATTCCCACATTGGGCACTTTTTTTCTGATTAAAAAAATGCTCCAATGGCCCCCGATTCTTGCAAAATTCCAATCCCACCAGCGAGTGCAAGTAACCAAACGGGGCTCTGGCACATTTATAAGTGCAAAGTCGAAATGCTTTTCACATGTGTAGATATGTGGTGCACTTACAGTAAAAGCAGTCGCCTACTTCTACCCACCATTTGCGCAGAGGCGATATCGTAGCCAATGAGAATCTTCCGAGGCGCGATTATTGCTAGTTGAAAACTTTACCCAATACTTCTACTAACCATGATTATCATGGCCTGTGCCGCGTGTACTAGGTATAAGCAAAAAAAAAAATACAGTTCAACATAGAAGATTCTAAAAAAACAAATGATATACAAAAAAAAACACATTATTAAAAGAATGACTAAAATTAATATACAAAGTGTTCTTCTTTTGGTCCTCCGGATCCGAGCGAAAGGTTTTCTTGTGGGAAGCGTCGGCTTCCCCAGTATCATTAAGATATTCAGTGTAAAGGGTCTCCATGATGGTGTCGTTGGCTGGTTAACCTGGGGACACCTGGCCATTAGAGGTAACAGTCAGCAGATCAGATCCCCCTCCCTTACAAACAGGATTTAAGAAATTAAAGCATTTAAGCATTAATGTTTCCTTTTCGCACAAAACAAACATTTACTGTTATCAAAATTCGAAACTATTTTAAACGCGTAAGATTCTTTTTAAAATTTTACGCGTTTAAAATAGTTTCGAATTTTGATAACAGATGGCGCGCTAGTGCATCGTATTATAAACATTTACTGTCTCTACTGCAATTTAGAAATATATTGGGAAGGCTTGGTTCATAAGTGATGAACCCTACCAGCGGTTTCGCTAATTTAATCTACCATACCCCTACTTAGAGTTCTAATACTGTATTGGATCATTCTGCTTATATATGCTACACTGAAAGGTGGAATCTCAGAAATGGTATTCAAGTAAACTATTGAAATAAGCTTTTAGCACAGCAGAATTACATGTATCGAGCATATATAAGCATAATCGTCCAAAACAGTATATACAGAGCTCTAATACTGTATTGGATCATTCTGCTTATATATGCTACACTGAAGAGTGGAATCTTAGAAATGGTAGTCAAGCAAACTATGGACGTAAGCTTTTAGAACAGTAAAGTTGGTAGGGACTAGAAAAAATCTATGGATGAAATATATATGAAAATTTTACCGTGATATGCAATAAAAGCTATGTGCGAGGATCATGTACAAGGTGATACCGATACAAAGTATGATGGAATATCGTCAACAGGTCTTCAGTGACACGACACATTTTTTGGCAGACGAAAAAAACGTAAATCACAAACTTCGCAGACGAGATGATGACATGGTTCTCGAGACCCACGGGGAAGATCCATAAAAAAAAGATTTTATCAATAACAACACAAAGTTTTATTAAGACCTTTCAGTCTTATACAGATTCTCCCAGTAGAAATGTAGGATACATGCAGGAATAACAGTGAAAATCTTCTTCTTCTTTCTTATCGCCACTCAATCGTATCAGGGTATCAAGCTTCGACAACCATCATAACTGGGTGAAGTAGAATGTGTCTGCCTTTGTCATTAAGACTGGGAGCACTACTCAGTGGCAGGCCGACTTAGCTCCAAAAGAAATGGCCACCTCTGACATGAGGAACAGATGCCATGTGCAGCCGCTCCTAACATGGAGTACAAACGCTGCTCATCCTGTATCCCTGGATTAGGAGCCCTTACAGGGTACTATCAGCCGGGCCAGCTGAGCCCAGGTTTTTTAGTGAGCTTGTTACTGCTCCTCCTCCTCCTTTTTCATCCGGGCTTGGGACTGGCAAAGGCGGAGTTACAGTAAAAATACCAGTAATAAGCATTGTTATTATTATTTATTAATCTAATCACATAATGGGAATATGAATCAGAATTAATTGGAGTATTTAGATGCCTGTTGATGGGACATCTGATGTAGGTAGGTATGTTAGCTGGACATAGTGGGATTGTGGGAGCCGAGAGACTTCCTTTCAGTCTGCTGGGATGACGGAACACGGCAAACATACAAGCGGGGCCTGAAAATAGTACGGATGGCCACCGCTGTGTGGCGCGGCAGATCGGCGGAAGTCAATGAGAACCCAATAGACATTCTAGGGTGTTGTCCTTTTTGTCTTCCTCTAAAAATATAGCTAATAAGTAATACCAATAAAACACTAACTTTGAAATACTTTCTGGGTCATCGCTGGACTATTAAATCGACACACCACAGGATTCATGTCTTAGTTACCAGGAGTTCAGAACTCCAGACATACTGTCCCATCTAGGGTCACCCCCCCCCCCCCCCCCCCCCCGCAACTTTGAGGCAGTTAACAGGTCTTGGGGGGGAAAGGTAATTTGATATTTATATACAGGAAAACTTAATTAGGACAATCAAGCTAATTTATTAATCTGAGTAAATCCGAAAAAGATGTTTCTGCCAGGGCTCGAAACTGTGACCTTTGGCATGTTATACGAATGTGATAACCACTATACAACAGAAACGGTTGATTTTATCAATAATATTTCAATATTTTTATTTTTTCTATTGTTTTCTCATGTTCTTAGCGTATTTACGCAAGTTTGGCCTTAAATACCCATTTTTTTGGTTTTTCAAGAAGCCTCTGGGACCAAAAAATATTTTTGGTCTTAGTGGTACAGCCTGCTCCACGCTGACGAACGCCAACAGCGCGAAACGCGTTCGTGGATGGCTTTTCTTGATTTATCAATAAACTGGGTTGGTCAAATATCACGGAGCAAGTTAAATAAACGTTTAGTTTATTTTTGCTCCACTAGATGGCGCTCTGCCATCTAAAAATCACATGTGCTTTTGGTCAGGATATGCACTTATTATTTTTTATAAATCAATATATTAAGTATTTTGACCAATAACAAAGTTGTTTTCATGTGATCTACAAGAATTTGTAAATTAATTTTACTGTGCAATTATTGATAAAGAGGGAGTAATCTCTCGAAATATTTTGAGGAAAATTTGTTTTTTTCTTCTTTACAGATCCAGATACGCCCTTTTAAATAATATTTCAAAATTATTTTTAGAATTTCAATTCTACACCAAAAATATATATTTTAAATTAGACACATTATATTTGGAAAACAAATAATTTTAAACAACAACCGTTACAAATGTATTTCTATTTAGAGATAAAACTTAACAAATTCACTATTTTAAATTTTTAAATAAAAGTTTTTTTTTTAAGAAGGAAACAGTTGTTTTAATTAAAATACCCACATGGCTACACTTTTCTCTTTTCAAATAATTTTTTCCCATGAAAACTTAATACCACGCAATTTGGATTTTACTTATGAATATAAAGCATTTTAAAATGTATTTAAGAGAGAGAAAAAAATGGATATTTGTTTTTTAAATTATTTTTTATCTGTCAATAACATATTTAATTTTCTGTAATGTATATATATGTAGTTTTGTTATCGTGAAAAGTTAAATTTATTGAGTTTTCATAGAATGCATAGGATCCGCGGGGTGTATAAATTTTTATACAAAATTTATTATATTTATAACCAACAAAATTTAAGATAAACAGGATTAACGTAATGCTCCAACATAATTTAAGATTAACGCGATTTAGTACCAATAGGATTTAAGATTAACAAGGATTTGAGATTAACACAAGGATTTAAGATTAACAGGAATTAATATTAACAGAATTTAATACCAACAGGATTTAAGATTAACAGAATTTAAGACCAACAGGATATAACATTAACAGAATTTAAGACCAACAGAATTTAAGATTAACAGAATTTATGACCAACAGAATTTAAGATTAACAGAATAAAATACCAACAGGATTTAAGATTAACAGAATATAATACCAACAAGATTTAAGATTAACATAATTTAAGACCAACAGGATTTAATATTAACAGAATTTACGACCAACAGAATTTAAGATTAACAGAATTTAAGCCCAACAGGATTTAAGATTAACAGAATTTAAGACCAACAGGATTTAAGATTAACAGAATTTAATACCAACAGGATTTAAGATTAACAGATTATAATACCAATAGGGTTTAAGATTAACAGAATTTAATACCAACAGGAATTAAGATTAACAGAATTTAAGACCAACAGGATTTGAGATTAACAGAATTTAATACCAACAGGATTTAAGATTAACAGAATTGAATACCAACAGGATTTAAGATTAACAGAATTTGATACCAACGGGATTTAAGATTACCAGAATATATAACCAACAGGATTTAAG